GATCATGTACTACTACTACTACTACTACTACGTATTCCACTAACCTGCACTGATATCCTGCCCCAGCCTGGTCTCTTCTACCAACAGGTAGGTGATAATGTACTACTATTACTAATGGTACTATACGTATTCCATTAACCTGCACTGATATCCTGCCCCAGCCTGGTTTCCTCTACCAACAGGTGGGTGATCATGTTCCAGCCAGTATGTGGACTGTTCCTGCTATAGCCTGTACAGATCCCTATATGGAATGTCACTACGACCGTGCCGGCTGGAACCCCATGGCAGATCCCATTAACTGTAGTGAAATGAAACACCTTATTTAGGCAGCCATCTTTTCTTGTAGTGCTATAGAAACCAAAAATGTGAATGTGTACTTGTCTCCTGCAACATCTAAGATCTTGTTACACATCTTCCGTTTCAGTGATTGGTAAATATAGTTTGAATCCAGCTATACATTGACTGCAGATGTCTCAGCTACATGTTTGCCGAAAGGAACACAAATCATTTGCGTTTATACATGTAGTATAATATGTGTTTATTGTAAAAAAATTGTATTTAAAGCCATTTTAAAAGAAAATTACACAAATCGAGAAAAGGGTAAATCATACTGAAATCATTGCGTTATTCTCAATATGACTTCAAAGGCGTGAATGAAAAAGAAGCCAATACATTGTTCAAAAAGGCGATTTTCTTTGTATTTTTAATTGTCCGAACTTAAGAGGATTACAACTCTTCGTATGAGATCAATAATTCAAAATAAATACATCGTAAATAACTCATAGCAATATAATATATTCTATTTTACCACAAAAACGACAGTTAAAGCTATTATTCTGAAATCTTTGCTTGTAATCGGACCACGTGACCTCCATATATGCCTATACTCTAAAACAAACTATTTACCAATTATAAACAGGGACTAACTTTGAATGTAGAAATGGATTCATTAACCATTGGCAAGTAAAGGAAAATCGTTATTTACCCCAGGAAAATTCATTTTTTGGCCAAAATGAACAGTTGTTATCATTTTAAACTTTCAAGAAAAGGTGTAATTAGGGGTGTCCTACTTACAGCTGTATCCCCTGTGGGCGTTCCTCCCACTGTCACCACGGACATACCACACGAATTCCAGAGGTCCAGGATCAGAACACTCCACCCCATTGAACTTGAAGTACCACCGAGAACAATAGCTGTCGCCATGTTCATAGAGATTGACGGCAATGCGCAGGCGCAGAGAAGTGTCACTGGCGCGTTTAACATACGTGTTTGTCTGAAAGAAAATGGAGGCTGTTTTAGAGCAATGGCCAGTGGCGTTAAGTCAGGGTTGAAACTCTGCTTCGACGAAAATGCTTTTTTTTTCTTAAACTAAAGTTTCAAAAAAGACCTTCGCAAGGAAACACTGATCATGACCTGGTAGTGAAGAAGTGAGTCTCTATGTACAGCTTGTGAAAAATAAAACTTCATTGGAGTAGGTTTTGCGATTTCTACAAATACACCCTATTTGCATGTGCAACTTTTTCTGAACACACGAGGAAGATAACCTGACCACAAATTCACTCGGTAAGGAAGAAAAGGTTGAATTAACAAGTAGTACTGCTCTGTCTGTGATTTCAATATTTGATACAACATCCATTTACCCAGTGGGCGTTCTCGTCTCTTGTTGAGGCGTAGTAGTCAGTTGTAAACTGCTGAATGTTGAACGAAGTCAAGGATTCACAGGTTGCTGGAAGAAAAACACAAATATATGACAGTGTACGAGTACGCTTTATCCACATGGTCTTGGCTCTTGTACTGATCTTAAACCTAAATTTTTTATTCCACAATTTGCATGGTGTATGCCATCCTATACTTCAAATGATTATTATTTCTCATATTATAGGTTTGTGTATTTTCAGTAGCGTCCGCAAATGTTACTTGTACTACATATATGGTTGTCATACATCGTAGACAGAGTGGTAAACTAAGTGACATCCTGTATTTGGTAAATTTCCTAAAAACCCAAAACTCTTCAGTTTGAGGAGGTACAAACCTGTTCCAGGGATGCCTTCTGTCTCTGCGATGATGATCCGAGATCTGGCATTCCATCCTGCGTAGTTATTGGTAGTCCCACTTAGGTGGCGGACGTGGAGGCCTATGGTCCTAGACCCCGCTCCAATGCCATTGCATATGCCAAAGACTAGATATAAATGACAATAGTTAAGTTTCATTTTTCCAGTCACTTTCAAAACGGAGATGAAGACAGGTGGATTTCACTCTGATGGCTTACTTTAGAAACTTTAAAATCGTAAGTGGGTTTATAGATCGCACTTTCCCTGCGACAATGGATAAAGTAGGCCTTTGGAGCACACGTGCACTGTGGCTTTAACTACGACTTAATATGTGTCTCTGGACCACCATCCTGAATGCCACGTGATCAGTACGGAAGACATTAGATTAACAGAGGTCATATCATCTTGTGACATTAGGTGAAATATCGTTGACATATCATGAATAATATGTGAGAACTTTCAGTTCCAAAATAAATGTTGGAAATATTCTTCAGTGCATATCGCGTACTGTTTAGTAGTTGAGGAAGTCATAAGACTTTCTTACATTACACCAAACGTGGACATAAAAAGGTATATCCAAGCACCAACGGACAAACAAAGTCTTCTAGTAGTTCAAAAGGAAGTGTACTATTTTTATGCAGTATTTGAACGGAGAACTCTTTTATTTAACCGCGTGGATTTGTTCCATAAGTCTATCATCTCCGACTCCTTTTTAGCACACGTTGAGATGTTAACAAGCACTCGGCTGTTCTGGTATGTAAATTGGGGCATGCATTGAAGCATGACAAATGGGAGCAAGGTAATCCCAAATTCAGTTTGTTTACAGACTGACAAATACAGAGTTCAGTGTAAGGGATAGAGGGATACAATATGTTTACAGTAGGACAAATACAGAGTTCAGTGTAAGGGATAGAGGGGATACAATATGTTTATAGTCGGACAAATAGAGTCCAGTGTAAGGGATAGAGGGGATTCAGTATGTTTACAGTCGGACAAATACAGTTCAGTGTAAGGGATAGAGGGATTCAGTATGTTTACAGTCGGACAAATACAGTTCAGTGTAAGGGATACAGGGATTCAGTATGTTTACAGTAGGATAAATACAGAGTTCAGTGTAAGGGATAGAGGGATTCAGTATGTTTACAGTCGGACAAATACAGTTCAGTGTAAGGGATACAGGGATTCAGTATGTTGACATTTGGATAAATAAACAGTTCAGTGTAAGGGATAGAGGGATTCAGTATGTTTACAGTCGGACAAATACAGAGTTCAGTGTAAGGGATAGAGGGGAGTCAGTATGTTTCCAGTCGGACAAATACAGAGTTCAGTGTAAGGGATAGAGGGGAGTCAGTATGTTTAGTCGGACAAGTACAGAGTTCAGTGTAAGCGATAGACGAGACTCAGTATGCTTACAGTCGGCTATTTTGTGATGGTCCCTTGCGTTAGGGTGGTATTCAGACCAATTGATGGCGTCAGGGTCGGAGCATTCAGCGTTGTCAATGGTGAAGTAGTACTGTGCAGCGCAGCCGCCGCAATTGTTTCCTGTCCTCAAAGTGCCCACCCACTGTAGATACAAACCACTGGTGTCACTCTTCTTGGTATAAGAAATAGTCTGGAATAGATACAAACCACTGGTGTCACTCTTCTTGTTATAAGAAATAGTCTGGAATAGATATAAACCATTGGTGTCACTCTTCTTGGTATAAGAAATAGTCTGGAATAGATATAAACCATTGGTGTCACTCTTCTTGGTATATAAAATGGATGGGAAGCGGACTGTCCATCATGCTTGACTCTCATTCAGGTTTCACCGGGATATGTGTCTTGTATTAGGAGTTGGATGTTTGGACCATTTATTTTATTTTTTGTTTTATTTATTCAATCAATAACACGTTTTTTTTCTTACTTCTTATTTTCTGTCAAAAATGATGGTAGCCCTGTTCGCCACAGGTCTGTCCTCACGCTCGGATTAAACACACCATGAAAAATAAAATTAAAAAATAAAAACACACACACACACACACACACACACACAGCGAGAGAGAGAGACGCATGGGTGCATGAAAAAAACTAATATAGATTTGCCACTTACAAACAGCTGGCCGGAGTTTGTGCCCCAAACTGTGGTGGACGACCATTGGTACACGTTGAATAGGGGAACCTCGTCACAGTCGAAGCCGTCACCTATCGGAGAAAAGAGCTACCTTTCATAATTAGCTTCGTTACAGCGTACCTCAGTCATGGTACCTCAGTCATGGTACATCAGTCATGGTTCCTCAGTCATGGTACATCAATGACAATGTGTCTGACAGAAGTGAGAACCTTAAGTATAATGGCCACAGTGATGTATCAGTTTTGGTAGACGAAACTTGACATTTTCTCTTAACGAAAGTATGCCAGTTTTACAGCATACTTGCTATCTAAACACACGCAGCCACTCACGCACGCACACATACACGCACGATAAACATAAGCGGGCACACACACAAACTGAGTTTACACACACACCTTGTCATTGCCGATCACTACTTGGACCAAACAACAAATCTAAGAAGGTTGTTATATTCCACTGCCACCGGCTCCCTTATATGTATGTATGTATGTATGTGCTATCATCTTCGCTTATCGCAGCCGTCTGTACGGTAGAGAGGTCGGGACGTGAGCTAGTTGCTATTTTTTTTCTGTCGCTTGGTTCATCGAAAAGTATACCATATATCTTGCATTTGGGCTCCTGTATGGAACACATTGATTTTCTACATACTTTACTACCATAAACACCATGCAATAGCCAACGTATTGTCTCTAATAATATATAAGAAGTGCTCTCAATTCTGTACATGTCCCACACTTACCAATACAAACTGCCTCATTGTTGACACAGTCACCACGGCACGTGCCAGCCACTGCACAGGGGGCGCCACTGCACTGGGAGTACGTACTCTCCAGCTCCAAGTCAATCTGGGAGAGAAGACAGAAAAAGAACCTGTCACAACATAAAACCAGTGTGCCACACCACACTCCTTGTACTGGTACTGAAGAAATTAGGTATTAATAATACTACCTATCAAAAATGTAGAGAAATTAATAAATGAATGTATTACAATGATATGTAAATTAAGGGGTTAAGGGATCTATAAATGGATATTTTATTTCATAAACACTTAAATTATTTCTGTAAGTTAATCATGTATACAGATGTAGAATAAATAATGATAACATAAGAAAATAAATAAACAAACCAAATAAATAATTGAACAAAAGAAAATTTAATATAAATAAATGCACATGTGGATGGACGGATGAATCAAGAACAAATTACATGTAATGGGCATACAACGATCAACACGCAAAAATAAACAGTCTGGATGAGAGGGTCTACACAAAGACGCCCTAAATGAATTGAGATCCATAAAAAAACTATTGATCTCAAACACTGGCCTTAAATGACATATTGCTTTTATGGAATAAAAATTCGATATCTCGCCGCCAGACTTTGCATGCTACGCAAAAAATGCGGAGCACCAAGTTATTATCCAGTGTTTTATTGAAATTATGGATGAAAGGGTGCATTACGCTTTTAAAACATCTATAGCAATTGAAAAGAGTTGACGCAATTCAATCTTTTTAGAGCGAAATTAACACAAAGAAGTTGAAATTAAGACAGGCATTTAATGGCCGACCCGGGAACTGAAATAAAACACTGCACGTTGCTTGGCCAAACAACCCCCCCCCTCCCCCTGCATGTAAGCAGTACCCCGTCGAAATAAAATATACGGTTCTTCTATGTTTAGTTCACAGTGCAGTATTGACCTGAAATGATTTAAGTAGTGTGAGCGATGCTTATGACTAGGTGAATTGTTCCTTCCCGTCAGACTCCACAGTACTTAGCTATTTGTCAGCTGTTACTATTCTCAAGATGTGAATTTGTCTTACGCAGAGCACGTGTTTTTGTTTCACAAGCTGCCACAGAGATTAATAAATAAACTCATCATTTAAAATACTTAATCTATTTCGATCAGGATTTTTTTTTTTTTTTTTTTTTTTTTTTTTTGCATTGTGGAAGACTTTTGTAAGTTTACATTTTAGATTCATCGACCGGTCAAGATGACAGTGAAAGTTTCAAACACATTGTTATGAAATCTCCGTAACCTTTACACTGATATGGCACAGAGATGATTTGATTTCTCCATTGCTGTGTACTTTGAACAGGCGCGGACGTATATTTGCAGTTTTTAATGTCTTTGATTTTCTATACGCCATTTCGACATTTACTTGTACTTTTTGTAATAACGCCGAGACAGTAAGGACAGTTTTGTCGCTAAGGACTTTTATATCTTTAAAAACCAGAATAGAAAATTTCTCGAGCACAAAGAAAACTTTTCCCTGGAATAGGTTCTCGAACAATGTCAAATTGTCAACATCTGCAGACCACACAAATAAGGCTGCTGAATACGCATTTTTACCACAATTTTTGATAGTAAAAAATGTTACTGGATACAAGTTGTCTACCACGATCGTGAATAGTAAAATTACGTAAATATTGTTAATTTTGATAGGAAACGGAGCATTACAATAATAAAAATGTAATTTAAGACGATATCACTAGTAGTCTAGATTATGGCCTCCTGTTAGCACACATGTAGCTGTTCTTAATAAAATTTTATAATACTTTGGGATAAATGTAACGGCAACAATTTTCATAATTTTGTTTTCTGTTGAACGACGGAATGAGTTGTATCTACGCTGATATTCACACATAACAGTTGTATGCCTAGTGTTGTCTAGTGGGATCAAAAGTATCAAAACAGGGACAAGTTATTGTGATAAAATTTTAGAAAGCAGTAAATCTGATAAATATAAAGTTAATGAATACATTATTAAGATCCTCTTCTTCTCAGAGGTTTTCATCAGGGTTTTATGGCATTATTTTCAAGGTATAATACTACATGTAATAATAACCAGATGATATGTATGTTTATAGCGATTACGTTGTCTCTCTTATGATCCTCCCTCGCCCTCTGTCCTCTGTCTCCTGTCTCCCATTCCCCCTTCCTCTCTCTCTCTCTCCCTCCCTCTCTCTCTCTCTCTCTCTCTCTCTCTCTCTCTCTCTCTCTCTCTCTCTCTCTCTCTCTCTCTCTAAACATGTGAATTACAAAGCTGACAACCCCAAGGCGATGTTTAGATGTGTTATACCTAGATATTTCCAAAGATTCTCACCTGTGGTAACAGAATGTTGGTCACGTAGCCCGTAGCCTCGCTGGACGTCGTTGTATAACCGGCAGTGGTTTGTGGTGTATCTGTCATATAACACGTCTTGTCAACTGTATTGAAATAGGACGACCTGCAGCGGAAGTTTCTGGTACACGCCAAAATACACTCCAGATTACTGCGACTGTCCACCGTGTCCACTACAAGGGAAACGCCGTAGTCGGCAGAGACAAACGACACGTTTAAAGTGTCTCCGCGGGGGGCGTTCGAGTTTGTGCATGTGTCAATGATCTCAGTGGCGGTGACACAGGACACCATAGACAGCAAGACGACTACCTGGATCAGAGTTTCCCTGCACCATGGGCCGAACATTGTAGAAGAGCTAATCGACTACAACCAGTGTACGGTACGTCTTCGGCCTCACCCTACCTCGTTAGGACGCAGATGTCTTAGCACGTAATATGTATTGACCGAAAGAATGGTTTGCAAAGATCAAAAATAAATTCCCTTTTTCGATTTTTGATACACCTGAATCAATCAAAAACAATAGGTAGCTGCCAATAGAGTCGTTTTGTATTTTTTAACAATGTGCATACTAATTCGATGTTCGATAAAATCTAATTATTCACCACAAACACTTCAACCCATTCCAATGTTGCCATCGTCATAACACCGCACTTTATTTGGTGACATTATAACAGCCAGAGAACCATACGTCAATAAACAAAGAATCACATTTCCATTTGAATAAAAGAGGTACCATACTTTGTGGGTCATGGGTCATGCTTCATAGAAGGGGGGGGGGGCGTAGTCGCTCCGAATAAATTCACAAAAAATAGGGGTGTAAGGTGGAATAATAGTTTCAATAATAATCGTTGGAATAATAATCGTATTTCATTATCTTCCTTATATGGTCGAAGGACTGTTTACAGTTCCAGAATGAAGCTACTACTTTAGTTTTTATGATCTCTATCAGATAGTGGTATCGATCTGGGTCCGACTTCCGTACATCTATGTTTTGCTTCAATAGCACAGCGTATAACTGTTATACTTCACATAAAACTGCAGTGATTCCTTATAAGAGAAAATTGATCTAAAGACCAAAACACAATATCATATAACTATCAAACACATTTCCTCGCCTGTATAAAAGCTTTTCAAAGCAAGTAAATTTCCTTCAAATTCTTCAGTGTGTAGCTGAACGTGTGGGGCCTTACGAATAGAAAAGCATTACTTGCGATATATATAGGGTCTATAAATGGTAATCATTATTATACAATAAGTGATTGAACCTAAGATTGAATGATGAAATGACGTTTTAAATGGAGAAAATTTGAATAATTTCACTGACAAACAGTTAAACTTATTAAAGGCACCCAATGTGGGAATTAATTCGCATTCTCAGTACTAGATAGCCTCAATAAACAATTGAACCTATCTGAGGACAACTAAATGTTTAAAAAATAAAATTACAGACAAATTGCCTTAAACAGTATCGCAAAAAGTAATCATATCCACCGTCCAACCTCGGTAGTCAGCCATCTTGACACAGTTTGAAAATGGCGCGAGTCACGGCACAAGAGTCTCGTGATGTCTGGAAGTCGAGTTAATGAAATGGATGGAAAACCTCCGCGAAAAACGCGGGTTTTGATCTTCGGCTTTTTCCAGATTTGTTTCAGAGTTATAGCAAATATCAGGAAAGGAAGATTGAAGGCTGGCTAATGGAGGGGGGAGGGATGCCGTTTACATCGGGAATAACTAGCGAAATGTGAATTTTGGCGCAAAATCCTACATTGGGCACCTTAAACAAAGACAGAAAAGAGCTTTTATTGAATGAAAAAAGCTCGATAGATGAGGGTTTGTCCTTTTCTTTAATCAAATAAACGTCTTATTTCATCACGCACACAACTTTGTTCCTTTGACAGGTCCACGGCTTACTTTTCAGGTGCTAAATAATTGCAATCTTTCCTATTGTCATGCATCCACTTCCGGTTCCGGTCACATGATTGGCGGGACTCTGGAGAAGTGGGATGAATCATTTCCCAATATCGCTTTTTTTCCTTCTTCGACCAGTCCGGTGCTCCGTGGAAAGGTTGGGTGTGAATACTAAATACTTGTAAGATGTCGCAGGTATTATTTGTCATCATATTTTCCCAAGGACAGGCTCTAAAATATTGGTTATCAATCAGCGTAATGTTGAGTTTTCGTGCGATGAAAGATACAAACTGGTCCTCACAAAATAAAGGATGGTGGAGTGACTCCAGATATAACTCTTTGACGGTGTCTACTGACTGTATGGTTATATGACCTATTATGTATCCTGGCGACCGTGCCCATGGTGCCCCTCGTAAATGATGTGCTGTCCGCCCCCCGTCTTCTCGCAGCACACCTGTCATCATGTTTCTGGCGGGGACCTCTATAAAATAGTCCACAATTCGCCGGAAATTAACGACGACATCGTGTCCGACTTTCATATAGAACTTGGCATGGCTGCAGTGGGTCGCTGTCCAGCTTAAGGTCAGAAGTGACTTTAATGTGAAATTAGAATAAGAGTCAAGCATATCGAACTTGACTATATCCCCGAACGCATCGCTTTCTGATGCAACGTCCGACTCCACTTTGGTATCAAAGGTACGCCCGACAGCATACAATATACGCAGCAATTTGCCGCGGTGCTCCTTAACTGAACCAAACGTGGAACGAAAGAACTGACGAGATTTGCGGTCTCGCGGATCTGACATCACCGTGACAACCAGGAATACCTCCTGGCCTGGCCTCACCTCACAGTACTTCTCGTTGGCAATGACGTAGCCATGATGACGTAAGTGGTCCCACTCCCGGTCCCTCAGTCTAAACGGACTACCCGGGGGCTTGGTGGGTCTCGGTAGGACCAGAGTCGTGTGCTGGTACCCGGGTAAAAGGACCTTGTCCAAGACACTGCTGTTCACTGCTTCCTGTCCTCGTGTCATTATTGTGTTTCTGTTGACGTTCTTTGTTACATTTTGATACAGCACCAACACGTTGATAACAAGGATGGAAATAAATGAAAGATAGCAGGTAGATCTGCAGAAATATCCCCTCAGAGGACCGATCATGTTGTGGGACAGGAGAAACTAAAAGAGAACACAGCAGTATCCCATGTTAGCATTGCTTTCATACATGTTAGCAAGGGCAACAATATTTGATATTATACATGTTAGCAAGGTCAACAATATTTGATATTATACATGTTAGCAAGGTCAACAATATTTAATATTATCGTTGCTTTCATACATGTTAGCAAGGTCAACAGTTTTCGATATTATTATTGCTTTAGTGCATGTTAACACAGGTCTACAATATTTGACCAATACATTACGGAGGCTAAACCTTGTACCTTAGTTGACATTCGGTTTATCATCAATAAACTCAATAGCATTGGTTCATCATTGAAAAAATTCCAAGGAAATAGGCAAATATATTTAACAACTGCTGTATAAAAAGATAATGATTTTTTAACAATATTAAAAAAATATATAATTCACCAATAAAACTAAACTGAGAAGAAATTAAAGGTGATATTGAGGCATTTTAAAAATAAAATTATGCTTTCGTTTAAATCGTGCATAGCTGAAATTGAATTAATTTAAATGAAAAAATCCATTGAAAATATTATATCATGTTAAAACATCCATTCAACGCTGAGCTTTGGCCTTTTCCAAATCCCTAATTGGAATAGTTTTCGTCCTCAACCTTAAAGGGATAACAACTCTTCATATGAGATTCAAAATTCAACAAAAATATACTGTAAAGAACATATCAATCACAGTACATTCCATTTTACCACCAAAACGGCGGTTATCGCAATTATTCTGAAGTCTGTGATTGCAAACAAAAACACTTAAAAAAGGACCAACTATCTTTAAATGTGGAAACGGATATATTTACCCTCTATGGAAAAATCGTTATTTACCAAAGGAAAAATCGTTTTACGGCACTTTCTCGGCCAAAATGAAGAAATGTCATCCGTTTTATTTACCAGAGACTGGTAGCTATGCAGCAGCACACCAGATGCTGTCTAATAAAGGCAATTTGCCGGTAAACTAGGTGATTCAGGATAAAAGAAAAAACCTTCACAACATTACTTACGTGTTTAGAGCACTCACTTTCCTGTCTGAAGAGACGACTATATCTACTCTGTTAGAACAGCCAAACTTTGACTATTCTCCGTCAGCAGTGCAACAAATATACCATAGTCTTAAGGTAAAACAGGAAGCCCCCCATCCCCTGGGGGAAGAGGGTCCCATTGGAGGGGCAGTGATCACAGTTCACCGGAAATAAATCGTCAATTCACAAATCATAGTAAATAAAACTTAATAACTCATTTATTCACCGACTATAGAGACTTAGATTCACAAAGTACCAAGAAAAGCTGCATTCACGCGTCACGGGGATGGGGTGCTTCACGGATCACGCTATATAATATGAACGTTTCGCGTATCTCGGGGGAAATAAAAGTTGCTTTCACGGGTAACGAAAATACTCACTGGGACCCTCCGGGCACTCTCCTCGTGTATGACTTCTTTCATTTCGGTAACTCCCCCACCCTGGGGACATCTCCTCCCACTAGGGGAGATCTGTGTCTGTTAACGTCTCATGTCGCGCTCGAAGGCAGGGGTCTAATGGCTGCGGGCGTTTTAATCCACTGTCCGTATGGAAATGCTAGAGGTACTCATATGATTTGGACGTCCCTGGTGCCTCATAGTGCATGCTGGTCAGTGATCTTCGTGAGCAATAAGTGCTTAACCCCTACAGCACGCATGAACTTTTAGTCGGCTTACCACACCTCAGGCTTTAGTTTTCAACATTGGACCACTCGTCATCATGGTTCGTCAAGGTGGCGTGACGTCACTCCTACTAGTCCATAAGGTCTGACCGAAAAATACGTATAAAAATAAGCATGCTATTCCGTTCTTGCGAGTGTAAAATATTGGGATGTGTTATGAACTCCAAATGTCCCAAAGTAATTATATTTGGGTCGGTTAACTTCAACTTCTTTGCCAATATACCATGATTTGAACATTTAGACTGGAACATTTTTTCCTATCAGTGTGGTGAGTTGGCCAGCCAATAGGAGCAGTCAAATTGACGACAACTCTCGTGACCTTGGCTGTTAGTATCACAGGGAAGATAGAAGACCGCGAGTGAGTACAGGTATACAACCAAGCCCAGCCCCCCTCCCCCCAAAAGCCAAGGTCAAAATAGCTTAATTACTGACATTATTTGCCTTCCTATCGGTTAAAAGGTACAAATTGTTCCGAAAGGACAAAGAGTTATACTTTGTACCGACGGCCTACGAATATTTGGCACATTTAAAGTAGTTAACAGCCTTTAGACTTCTTTTAGAAAAAATCTACAAACAGAAATTACACTCGCGAAATGGTTTGAAACGATATGGAGGGACACGTTATAGACTATGAAAATGTCCAGGGTGCCCGAGGAGAACAATGGCCGTAGGTCAGCCCTCTCTATGATTACCCCTGTCCATGTTAGGACTGCACACAACTTTACCGGAGTGGATATTTATTGTCTTGGTTATATGTCATTATATAATAATAATAATAATAATAATAATAATAATAATAATAATATACTAGAACACCATTAAGCAAAATAAATATGATTAAATAAAAATAATTTGTATTCATATGTAGCAAAGCTACCAAATGCTTCTTCTTCTTCAAAAGCATGCTTCTCCCCCGCCGCTATTATTCATAAATTGAAGTGAACATCCCCTACAGCAATTTGTTATGTCCATAAATCTCTCACAGTGTGAAATTAACTTTCATATCTCATCAGATTCCTTTCAAATAGGCAGAAGTTATCCACACCGCCTTCCGACTCAAACAAATAGCGCTCTATTCGTTAAAAACTACTGCTTGTCATTCATCTGGAGTTGAAGCGAACACTTTCCCGTTTCACAAAAATCTAAAATCGTTAGTTAACTAGGCTTAGCTAATTGATTACTGAGCCGACTAGACCGTAGCCAACTGTGAGAGTTTCTCGAAGAATGTAAAACGCTTGTTTATTAAATCGTAGTTTACTTTCGATAGTTGACTAGGCTCACGCTCTCAAAAAACTCTTCAAATAATAGGTGAAAAAATCCCAAGACATGACGGCTTGTGGCGTCTTTTGGTGCCTGAATGATCGTTTATCAACAATGAAATCGGAAAAAACATCGGCAAAGTTCGATGAATGTTTTAGCTTTGATACAATTCATTATCTAAGTAGGAGAAAAAATTGTCTCGTCTTGAAAGGCTACAATCGGACATCTAGCGGTCGAATAGCGTAAACAAATGCGGCGATTTTACTCTCCATTTGAAAATTGCATAAGTTTCAGTAACATTCAGAGAGNAATAATAATAATATACTAGAACACCCTTAAGCAAAATAAATATGATTAAATAAAAATAATTTGTATTCATATGTAGCAAAGCTACCAAATGCTTCTTCTTCTTCAAAAGCATGCTTCTCCCCCGCCGCTATTATTCATAAATTGAAGTGAACATCCCCTACAGCAATTTGTTATGTCCATAAATCTCTCACAGTGTGAAATTAACTTTCATATCTCATCAGATTCCTTTCCAATAGGCAGAAGTTATCCACACCGCCTTCCGACTCAAACAAATAGCGCCCTATTCGTTAAAAACTACTGCTTGTCATTCATCTGGAGTTGAAGCGAACACTTTCCCGTTTCACAAAAATCTAAAATCGTTAGTTAACTAGGCTTAGCTAATTGATTACTGAGCCGACTAGACCGTAGCCAACTGTGAGAGTTTCTCGAAGAATGTAAAACGCTTGTTTCGTAGTTTACTTTCGATAGTTGACTAGGCTCACGCTCTCAAAAAACTCTTCAAATAATGGGTGAAAAAATCCCAAGACATGACGGCTTGTGGCGTCTTTTGGTGCCTGAATGATCGTTTATCAACAATGAAATCGGAAAAAACATCGGCAAAGTTCGATGAATGTTTTAGCTTTGATACAATTCATTATCTAAGTAGGAAAAAAATTGTCTCGTCTTGAAAGGCTACAATCGGACATCTAGCGGTCAAATAGCGTAAACAAATGCGGCGATTTTACTCTCCATTTGAAAATTGCATAAGTTTCAGTAACATTCAGAGAGATTTTAACATTTTATCTCGAAGAAGGTTCTTTCTAAAGTTTGGCTGATAATGCTCTTAATTACAGAATTTTAGTTGAGCTGTGCTGACTAACAGTGGAGCTGTCTAAGATCGCATTCACAACGAGTTGAGCCATGGCTTTACAAATCCTGGAACTAAATATGGCGGACGTACATGAAAGAAAAACCGCCAAATCTTTTAATAGTCTCTCCGCCTCTCATACGCCTCCCCATGCGTCGTCCCTGCGGGGGTACAGTCATTAAATTTCGGCTCCATTGGGACAACACATGGGGAGGCGTGTGAGAGGCGGAGAGACTAATAAAAGATTAGGCGGTTTTTCTTTCATGTACGTCCGCCATATTTAGTTCCAGGATTTGTAAAGCCTGGCTCAACTCGTTGTGAATGCGATCTTAGACAGCTCCACAAGGAGGCTTAGATTAGTCGACTATCTGGTAAGGAGTGACTTCAGGTTATTTGTGAAACACAGCGTAGTATACCGTTCTTAACAAAGATTTTAGCCAGAAAAGTGACCATATATTTTTGAAACAGGTACCTGAATGGCTTAGCACTGGTAATGAGCCACACCGCCAGTTGGTGAACCTCTTCAGCTCATTGTCTGTAGCCTTCCTCAAACTGGTCACGGTGAGACCATTAGCACCATGTTAATTGACTAAAGACAGAGTATTCACACTCATCTATTTTAAATCACGTTGACAAATTTTTCTGCAAAAGAAGACAATTCATTCTTCATAGCAGAACTAGTTTGTCATTAGCACAACAAGCACAGCCATCGAACTGTGGTAGGGCCTATAGACCTACTAGTAGTAAATGTGGATAGGCCTAACCACGTGGACTGTCACCCTGAGAGTACAGTAAGGTGACAAGTTAATGATCTCCTGCCTACAGCACCTCCTGGCGGGAACTTCATAGCCGCAGTCAGAGACGTGAGAGGAACCAGTGCGTGATACGAGGCAGCTAACTGGCAGTAGAGTGTGGTTAGATACTTAATCCCCTGCTTTGTATTGCAGATACATGATCTGGTCTTTTCACTGTTTTTTTACAACAATTCTGTTTTCTACGAGTCAACTGGCTGTCACGCAAACATACTTTATGTATTTACTATACTGTAAAACTGAACATTGCTGTTGAGTGGGAAGGCGCTTGCCCCTTTTCTGCTACAGCGACAATGATCCATAGAGATGGCGCAGACGACAACTGCTACATTTTTTTAATAAGTTCAAGCCTATTGTGTGGTTACTTAGCCGTGCCGTCACCCGACTCTCACATTCCAAAATTAGATTGTTTGGAAAATATCACATTTTACTGTAACATTATCTCCGAAGACGGCGTTCTACATAAGAAGGAGAATAGTCAAAAAATCTTTGTACTTACGACGGTAAGACAGAGTGGGGCACCTTCGCGATATGGGAGGGAATATTTGCCGCAGTCCAACCCTGATCTGTATCTGTATGGTGCTGGTGGTCCATGCAGCTCTCTCAGCAGTTATACCAGGATATGTGGAGGTTAGTGGACAGGAAGACTATGAGACGGAGAATCAGGTACGTGAGGAACAGTTTGCACGCTGGGGTATTTTCTCCAGTCTGTGTTGTATATTTACGTGTATTAATACTTCAGATGTCTGTGTGTACGGTGTATTATATATCCTTGTACGGGTCTATCTGGGATTTAAATTTAACTTCTACGTTTCAGACGTCTGTTGCCGTTGTTTTCGTCCTCCGAGAGACCAGTCTCTATGACTGACAAACCATATTTTTGTTTTAATGTAAAATTACTCATTAGCTTAGTTTGATTATAAAAGTTCCTTGTGAAAATCAACATGGTCAGATTAGTTTTTACAAAAGTTATTCATTTTTTTTGTGCATTTTGGCGACGTTCGTCCAATAATTGTCATACTGTATTTTTGTTCCATTGCAAATTTTCAGTATTACCTTATACGTTTACTAGGTAAATTCTTTTAGAAATCACTTTGATTGAATTATTTTTATGTCAGGTATTGGTACTTGTTTGCCACTTGCGTGTATTTTGGCAATGTTCAACCTATAAATGTAAATTAAGAGGACTATAAATTAAATTATGGTAATCTACATGTATATTAAAATGTCCATCTGCAAATTTAAACATGTTTGTCTGTGGTATTGTTATACATTAATAAATGAATCATTTTGTTTTCACATAAGAGAGAAACCTCTTTTACGCAGACCGTGCTTGATGCTGTGATGGAAAAAATTGAAATTTTCCAAGAATTATAAAACTCTTTCGTCATCTATATTGCTTATTAGACGTTATTGAATCCGGTCGGTTTCTTTGGATGTGTTATTATTTACAAACGTTAACTGGTAAATATTTATGCAAAAATGTTTGCTGTTTGTTGTCCTTGTAGTCTCCAAATTTGCTTTCTAGTTGTAAGTTATTAAAGTAAATTTGTACAATAGACAACACGGAATACACAACCTGCTTCAAGTTAAGAAAACACTCCTTTATCCCCTATCTACTGCTGTTCTTAACCCTCTGTATATTTATAGTAATATCTTATATGTACGTATGATGCAATATCATCTATTGAAAAAGGAAAACAAATAAAACCTAGCAACTCGGAAGGTGGATTCTTGCAGTGGGGTTTAGAAACATATCAGAATGACGATTTTTGTGGTAAATATTCCCCTAGGTTTTCAATTTTTATACTGTGCAGCTACGCGGTAAAGACAGCTGCAGCTTAAAGCGGTTTTCAAACCCAATTTTACAATAAAAAGATCACCGTAGAATGCTGCCTTTCTTCTCGTTTACGATTACACTGAGAATACTGGCAGCCAGCCACGAGAACCGTACTAAGCCGGTTCTAGTATCCGCCACAGGGGCTTTGAGTAACGCGCTGGGGGACATTAGTCTGAAATGATACCAAAAGAGATAAAATAAGTCATATATAAATAGTTCTGACTGCTCTCTGGAAATCTCAATACCCAGAACTCTCTGATGTGTCACAGTACTATAATATATATATATATCATTTTGCCGTCCTAGGATTACCCGGAGGACCTCCTGAGTGATGGACTTGACCGAAGCAGCGAAGATCTTTCCGATTTATTCGTCAAAACTATGAGAGTCCCATTCCTCAGGAAGAGCAGAAACATGGTATTTATCTTGGGGCTGGTCAGAGGAGAGAATGAGGGTAAGCTTGGTCTTTTTATACTAGCTGAGATATGTTCAATATATGGTGAACATTGATCAAGATTGGGAAGTAATTATCTCCGAGGCAGCCTGTAGTGTTAGAACATTAGACAAAAACACTTCGGGTGCAAGATGGCCGTCAGTGGGTATTTTTAAAAACCTAAACTACCTACTGGTACGAGGTGCATCAGTTGTTTTAACCGATTTAGAATTACAGTTATTAAATTTCAGAAGCTTTTAATTTTATTTAATTATTTACAGTTTGTATATTATCAGTATATATACAGCAGTTTGTATATTATCGTATATAAAAATTAAAAAAAAAAAGAAATAAAAATCATGTCACATTTGGCAAACGTGTGTTTGTCCTGCGCTCATGTACAATTACAGAGGTGAGTAAGAGCAAATTGCTTTTTTTCGGGGAAAATTTCGTAGATAAGGCTACCTTTAACTTGCTTTCGGATTCTATCTGTTGCATCCAACCACATCGTTTTCTATTTACTAGTAGGACAAGATTTAAGTCGAAATTCAATGTCAACCTTGGCTTTTGATCTACTGACGTCAAACTCAAAAGGGACCATTTGATGTGATAAAAAAACCTATCCACAAAGTACGAGGACAGTAGATCAAACCTTCTCTATAGACTGGCGGTACAGGATCTGGTTACAGACCGACCGTCCGCCATGTGCAAAGCAATAAATCCCTGGTTAATTGAAGGGGGGAATGATTATGTAGGGTTTGCAATTTATTTTAAGGTTCATGCTTTCTAAAAGCCAGACGCACTACCTATTCTTATATATGGATTACAAGTAAAATATTCACAGAGCAGTGTCAAATATGGTCATGGCGGACTGGAATGGCTGTGGATAATTATATCTACACCCTAGCTGATTCGGTAGGCGTGACAGACATTTAAGCCGGTTAGTTGCTAGCAATTTAGTGAGACTCCCCAGGGCGTTAGACCGATCCAGATGGATCAATCTAGGCATGGGAACCCAGTCTTGTTTGTTTAAGAAGCACTTTACTCTCGTGTCTGAAAAGATTTCCTTTTGATTCCTCGACATTAAAATTAATCTAGAGTCTTCTGGCCCTGCTGAATTTGGTAGGTAAATCTAGAGTCTTCTGGCCCTGCTGAATTTGGTAGGTAAATCTAGAGTCTTTTGGCCCTGCTGAATTCGGTAGGTAAATCTAGAGTCTTTTGGCCCTGCTGAATTTGGTAGGTAAATCGAAGTTGATGTACTATAACTGATTTTGTTCTGTCTGCACTGTTCAGTATCATAGTACGTGGGAGACCACAGTAAAGTACAAAGGGAGGGGCAACCAGACGACGTGTACAAGAACCGAAGCACGATATTTAGATCTTTGAAAATAAAAACTGTTCTTGTTATCACGCAACTCGTCTTTGTTCATAAAAAAAGTTTGAAAATATGCATATCAAATTCCGAACGTTTTTCCACGCGACAATCAGAGAAAAAAGAGCTGCGCTATGTTGCGGCAATTAAGGTTATTTGCTGTGTTTTGAATTTGGCCTGGAATCCTACATGTACTTGTTAGCCGCCTTCGTAAAGTGCATTTAAGGTGAGAGCAATGATGTCACTGGATGCCCACGTACCTGACGTGACAACTTATCGCTTTGAAACCGTTACTAAAGTTTATCATCTATATATCTATAAACAAACAATTTGCTACAGAAAGGTCCAGGTAACGCATTCAACCGCAAATCATTTTTGATGAAATATATTTAAAAAAAAACACTTAGTTACTGTGGAAATGCAAGGCGGAGTGGCCTGGTTTTTGGACATTTTTGGTCTTTGGTCGCATGTAAGAATTGGCACAAAGCAGCAGGTTTATTGCATTTGTTGGCTATATCAAACTACAAGTGAATTAGTCTACAGTCCTCACAATCAGCAGATACAGGAAGAAGACTTCACTTAAGTTGAGGAAGTAAATAAAATAAGATTACGTACACCAGAGACATTTAAGACTTAAAAGCTTTCGACTTTACAATAATGAAGATCGTACAGGATGTGTGTTGTGAAATATAAAACACTGTTTGAATTCAAAATTTTCTGTAACATTAATATATTTCTCTTTTTCCATACGTTATAGTACATCAGGATACAGTTGGCCGAATTAGGATCAAAATTTTAGCAGCAGATTTGATGATGATTTGATGGTGATAGCAACATATTAGCTTAGTGGGGGGTATTCTTTGTACTAACCTGTAACGCCAAGAAAGCCATCCACACGGTTTTGGTCTTCACTAGGGCTCAACTGCACCAGCGGGGTGAAATTGCTTCAAAAGAAGAATTTCACGCCGCCATTTTAATGTCCAGTTGGTGCAAGCGGCCCCAGAGACACAAGTCATCAGGTAGGCAGGTGGCCCAGAAGAGTGGTTAAATGGTAAGTAAAGTGCCATTTTTGTTTGTTCCAGAACCTAAGAGGGGTGGATTCTCGATCAACAGAGGATAGCAGCGGAACTGCATACACAGTATCCTAAGAAAAAAAAAAAGACCACCGCTACATAGAGGCACAAAGTGATGTTTGCCGGTACGAACCAATTACGGCACACCACTAAAATCTGTTATGAACAGACTTCTCTCGAACAGGCAAAATGCCTTTTTGGCATAAACAGCCACAAGAACCGTGATATGTTCAGTCAATATAAGAGAGATTTACGCTTGGTAATGGGTGGAGTATTCATGTCGTGCATGCAATTATCGGAAATCTCAACTTGAACAAATCCTGCCAAAGAAGACGTGAAAGCCGCCACTGTCTCTCACACGACACTCACGTTACTTTACACTCTGTGGATCAACGTGCAGGCTTTAAGACGAAAACATCTTAAAACAGGATTATCACTTTCCAAAGAGTTTATAACTTTGAATGTTCTGATACCAAGACTTTAAATAAAGTGATACTTTATCTCTGACGAACTTGAAATAAATGCGTTTGCCATTTCATTATTGGGCCTGTTCATTAAAATGTCTGACGTCAGCCGTTGAGTTAACTAGTTAGCCTAGTAAGATTTAGCTGACCAAACTGCGTTAAGCAAGTAATCCTCAATGACACATTCAAAGTGAGTGGACATGTCAAGTTATTGGCACTACACCCGACAAATGCCATCATATACAATGAAGTTTTCAAAAAGCATAATTTAAAGAAGTATCGCAGGGTTTAGTTTCATTATTCGCGAAAAATGATAATTGAACTTGCTGTAATGTCCAAACAAGTCTTTCACTCGATTGGTAACCCAGCCAATGTCCTCTCCCGGGTCCACTAAAACTGCGAGGGTCACTCCAACGTTCTGCGAAATCTGTGGATCCTGACGCACATCAGGGTAAATAAAACGATGGGTGAGAATTAGGAAAATTAAATGATTTTGATCGTGGTGATCACAATGTCTGTATGTATGTTGACCTTCTTCCAAAAGGAAAGCTACTTGTACGCCACTTTTTCGTCGGTCATATTTGTCTGACCAATATCATCCACATACCGGTAACATTAACACATACAAGTACTTGTTATATGGTGTTTTTCTTTAATTAAAGTTTTTCTTTACAAAAAAAGATCTGGCACACACATGTACACACACGCACACACGAGCGCGCGCACACACAGTGAGCACTTACCGGCTCCTGTTATCACACGCTGTTTCCAGGCCGAGTGCCTGCACACGAGCAACCGTAGACAGCTACAGCCAGAGGCTCCAGGGTGACGTGGTCCGGCAGCCTAATACATATACCAACATAACTGAGGGAACACTTACTTCTCTGGCAACAGAATACGACTCTACCTTACAATACACAAACAATCACAGATTGTTGGTACAGATACACAGACAGACTGAAAGACAGGTGCGCGCTCACACACACACATAACACACACACACACACACACACACACATAACACACACACACACACATAACACACACACAACACACACACACACATAACACACACACAACACACACACACACACACACATAACACACACACACACACACACACACACACACACATAACACACACAGATCGAGAGAGAGAGAGAGAGAGAGAGAGAGAGAGATGATACTTGTGGCAAGAGTTCGCAGGGTGACAGTCCACCACAGAACCTTATCTTGTCCTGACACGTGTTATGGCAGCCGTCCGGGCACAGGGAGCACTGACGAGAGGGTATTAAGGAGCCCACCGCCATGGGACACGACGCCTTTTCTCTGTAGTCTGTTTTTTTCCATGAGCTTACTGTTGTTTGTGGTGAAAATAAAATGCACTAGTCTAGCCAAAGTTGGCAGTTATTGCTAAAAATACTTCTGCAAGATATGTAAAAAGCCACATTAATGTACCAGAAAATGACAAAAAAATTCAAAAAGTCTTGAATTGAATTGAAGAATTCATAGAAAAAATTATTGCTGAGGTTTTACAAAGCAGAATCTGTCTCTAAATACATCGCGAGTACGGAATCTTTGACGTCAATAATAACAGCCAGAAACCATGACTTTCTTAGAGATTCCACCGAATTGCCTTTTGACAGCAGTGTGCTAGTTGTGAAATATCGCAATTGAAAAAGCCCACAATTGCAATGGCTAACGTACTTGAACGTACTGATGGCCTTTCCAGTGCAGTCAATGTAAGGACGTGATGTGGTCGCTTAGTACAGGCTTAGGCTCTCGTATGAAGAAGATCTTGTTGCGCGTGAAGAGTTTGACCGCAAGGAAAAGGTGCTGAAGTTAAGACAGTAAAACATCATTACAGGTATGAGCTAGGAAACTTCGTTGAAAATTTATTTCAAAACGGACACTAAAATAACGATTTGAAGGTTAAAACAAAAATATATATAATAATAGACGTTATAAGTTAAAAAGTATAATTTTGATTTTTTGCTACTGGTTATTTTCACGACTGTTTATTTTTTGAGCGTAACTTTTCTCTCGCCACAACCCGCTTTTCCTACCCCGTTACGGCTATTTCTAGATTCATTCATTGTGATTAAAATAAAATTTTTAGTTTAACATAAAATATGTACAATTCACTTGATGAATCACCAGGCGTATCTCTATGTTAACATGATATATGTAAGTTAAGCCCAATCAGCCGCAGGTCATCATTCTAAGTGCTGGAGACTTGTTCAAATGTCATGTAACCCCTGGCAGCAATATCACAGTATTAGATCGGAATTTAGATCAATTTCCAGTATTAAACTGTACAAAATTCTATGAATAAAAGCATATTAAAACGATTAACAGTTTTGGCCACTTATATTATCATGAAAACCGGGAAGCCATATTGGTCACCCTGTCTTTAAAATGAAGGATCCTTGAAGTACAGACGTTGCTGATTTTGCAATCACTTTCCACACTAAACATCGAGTATTGTAGAGGGTCACTTAGTGTCCATTCTGAAGAACCGTCCCATTTAATTCAGGCTCAGAACACTGGAGGACGCATTTCATGCCCTGGCGCCCTCTGGCCACGTCAAACGCTTCCAGAGCTTGGTCCAGCGGAAATCTGTGGCTGACCAACGGCTTAATGTCCACCTGGCCGGAAGCTACTAGGTTCAGTACTTCATGCTGGCTGGAAGGTAAAGCACACCATTGTGAATGTTATACACACCATCTGGAGGACATGTTTGGTGTCTTAAAAGATTAAAAAAACTGAATACCCCGACTATACGCGGCACTGGTGTCAAAAAGTACATATAAGCCTTTACCCCGGGTTAGCTACACGAACGTGTTTGTACTACACTGGGTCAGCATAAACAGTGGTTGATGGAGGTATAAAGAACTGACATGCCACACACNCTCTGTACTAACCTGTAACGCCAAGAAAGCCATCCACACGGTTTTGGTCTTCACTAGGGCTCGCCTGCGCCAGCGGGGTGAAATTGCTTCAAAAGAAGAATTTCACTCCGCCATTTTAATGTCCAGTTGGTGCAAGCGGCCCCAGAGCCACAAACAAACCGTGCACAGCGTGTTTAAGTCATCAGGTAGGCAGGTGGCCCAGAAGAGTGGTTAAATGGTAAGTAAAGTGCCAATTTTGTTTGTTCCAGAACCTAAGAGGGGCGGATTCTCGATCAACAGAGGATAGCAGCGGAACTGCATACACAGTATCCTAAGAAAAAAAAAAAGACCACCGCTACATAGCGGCACAAAGTGATGTTTGCCGGTACGAACCAATTACGGCACACCACTAAAATCTGTTATGAACAGACTTCTCTCGAACAGGCAAAATGCCTTTTTGGCATAAACAGCTACAAGAACCGTGATATGTTCAGTCAATATAAGAGAGATTTACGCTTGGTAATGGGTGGAGTATTCATGTCGTGCATGCAATTATCGGAAATCTCAACTTGAACAAATCCTGCCAAAGAAGACGTGAAAGCCGCCACTGTCTCTAACACGACACTCACGTTACTTTCCACTCTGTGGATCAACGTGCAGGCTTTAAGACGAAAACATCTTAAAACAGGATTATCACTTTCCAAAGAGTTTATAACTTTGAATGTTCTGATACCAAGACTTTAAATAAAGTGATACTTTATCTCTGATGAACTTGAAATAAATGCGTTAGCCATTTCATTATTGTAGATGCATTTTCCCCCCGTGGGCCTGTTCATTAAAATGTCTGACGTCAGCCGTTGAGTTAACTTGTTAGCCTAGTAAGATTTAGCTGACCAAACTGCGTTAAACAAGTAATCCTCAATGACACATTCAAAGCGAGTGGACATGTCAAGTTATTGGCACTACACCTGACAAATGCCATCATATACAATGAAGTTTTCAAAAAGCATATTTTAAAGAAGTATCGCAGGGTTTAGTTTCATTACTCGCGAAAAATGATAATTGAACTTGCTGTAATGTCCAAACAAGTCTTTCACTCGATTGGTAACCCAGCCAACGTCCTCTCCCGGGTCCACTAAAACTGCGAGGGTCACTCCAACGTTCTGCGAAATCTGTGGATCCTGACGCACATCAGGGTAAATAAAACGATGGGTGAGAATTAGGAAAATTAAATGATTTTGATCGTGGTGTTCAAAATGTCTGTATGTATGTTGGCCTTCTTCCAAAAGGAAAGCAACTTGTACGCCACTTTTCCGTCGGTCATATTTGTCTGACCAATATCATACACATACCGGTAACATTATCACATACAAGTACTTGTTATATGGTGTTTTTCTTTAATTAAAGTTTTTCTTTACAAAAAAAGATCTGGCACACACATGTACACACACGCACACACGCGCGCGCACACACACAGTGAGCACTTACCGGCTCCTGTTATCACACGCTGTTTCCAGACCGAATGCCTGCACACGAGCAAGCGTAGACAGCTACAGCTAGAGGCTCCAAAAGCGTGTCTTCTTCCAGGGTGACGTGGTCCGGCAGCCTAATACATATACCAACATAACTGAGGGAACACTAACCTCTCTGGCAACAGAATACGATTCTACCTCACAATGCTCAAACAATCACAGATTGTGGGTACAGATACACAGACAAACTGAAAGACATGTGCGCGCTCACACACACACACACACACACACACACACACACACACACACAGATCGAGAGAGAGAGAGAGAGAGATGATACTTGTGGCAAGAGTTCGCAGGGTGACAGTCCACTTCAGAACCTTATCTTGTCCCGACACGTGTTATGGCAGCCGTTCGGGCACAGGGAGCACTGACGACAGGGTATTAGGGAGCCCACCGCCATGGGACACGACGCCATTTATCTGTAGTCTGGTTTTTACCATGAGATTACTGTTGTTTGTGGTGAAAATAAAATGCACTAGTCTAGCCAAAGTTGGCAGTTATTGCTAAAAATACTTCTGCAAGATATGTAAAAAGCCACATTAATGTACCAGAAAATGACAAAAAAATTCAAAGTGTCTTGAATTGAATTGAAGAATTCATAGAAAAAAATTATTGCTGAGGTTTTACAAAGCAGAATCTGCCTCTAAATACATCGCGAGTACGGAATCTTTGACGTCAATAATAACAGCCAGAAACCCACCGAATTGCCTTTTGACAGCAGTGTGCTAGTTGTGAAATATCGCAATTGAAAAAGCCCACAATTGCAATGGCTAACGTACTTGAACGTACTGATGGCCTTTCCAGTGCAGTCAATGTAAGGACGTGATGTGGTCGCTTAGTACAGGCTTAGGCTCTCGTATGAAGAAGATCTTGTTGCGCGTGAAGAGTTTGACCGCAAGGAAAAGGTGCTGAAGTTAAGACAGTAAAACATCATTACAGGTATGAGCTAGGAAACTTCGTTGAAAATTTATTTCAAAACGGACACTAAAATAACGATTTGAAGGTTAAAACAAAAAAATATATATAATAATAGACGTTATAAGTTAAAAAGTATAATTTTGATTTTTTGCTACTGGTTATTTTCACGACTGTTTATTTTTTGAGCGTAACTTTTCTCTCGCCACAACCCGCTTTTCCTACCCCGTTACGGCTATTTCTAGATTCATTCATTGTGATTAAAATAAAATTTTTAGTTTAACATAAAATATGTACAATTCACTTGATGAATCACCAGGCGTATCTCTATGTTAACATGATATATGTAAGTTAAGCCCAATCAGACGCAGGTCATCATTCTAAGTGCTGGAGACTTGTTCAAATGTCATGTAACCCCTGGCAGCAATATCACATTATTAGATCGGAATTTAGATCAATTTTCAGTATTAAACTGTACAAAATTCTATGAATAAAAGCATATTAAAACGATTTACAGTTTTGGCCACTTATATTATCATGAAAACCGGGAAGCCATATTGGTCACCCTGTCTTTAAAATGAAGGATCCTTGAAGTACAGACGTTGCTGATTTTGCAATCACTTTCCACACTAAACATCGAGTATTGTAGAGGGTCACTTAGTGTCCATTCTGAAGAACCGTCCCATTTAATTCAGGCTCAGAACACTGGAGGACGCATTTCATGCCCTGGCGCCCTCTGGCCACGTCAAACGCTTCCAGAGCTTGGTCCAGCGGAAATCTGTGGCTGACCAACGGCTTAATGTCCACCTGGCCGGAAGCTACTAGGTTCAGTACTTCATGCTGGCTGGAAGGTAAAGCACACCATTGTGAATGTTATGCACACCATCTGGAGGACATGTTTGGTGTCTTAAAAGATTTAAAAAACTGTATACCCCGACTATACGCGGCACTGGTGTCAAAAAGTACATATAAGCCTTTACCCCGGGTTAGCTCCACGAACGTGTTTGTACTACACTGGGTCAGCATAAACAGTGGTTGATGGAGGTATAAAGAACTGACTGACCACACACTTACTTATTACAGTAGGTACAACATCCTCTCCAGTCTATTTTGTTGATGGAGGTTTAAAGAACTGACTGACCACACACTTACTTATTACAGTAGGTACAACATCCTCTCAAGTCTATTTTGTTGATGGAGGTTTAAAGAACTGACTGGTCACACACTTACTTATTACAGTAGGTTCGGCAACCTCTCAAGTCTATTTGCTTGAAAGTGACCTGATTAAGTGGAATGGCGATATTAGCCGGACCCAATCCAACTGTGGCAACAATACGCCCAGGTTTTGTAACCTAAAGATAAAAAACAACTTAGTCATTAGGTGATTTTTAAAGATTCGTGTCTATACATGTAGATGGAAGTATTTTATTTGTTGGCCTTTATGTTTGTTTGCATTGTATCTACATGTCTGTCTGTTTGACCAACTTTATCAAGTGACGTTTCACGTGTACAGGTATGTAAATGTCGTGTACGTACACGATAATTATATAAACAGGTTTATAGACAAGCACATGGGTTTTATGAGTAGATGGATCATGGAAAAGTCAGTTAAACGTTTAGCACTTTTATGTAACATATCAAAAAAGTATATGCTTGCGACTTTTGTCTGCACTGTTTGAAGTTATTTCAATTTGTCACAGTTTACTTGACACTGACATGAACCTTCAATGGATGCGTGGCGTTCGCAACTCACCAGGATAGCTAACTGTACGGCGCTCTCCGCTCCACTCGTGTCCACAGCCGCCTGCACGTGACCACAGCCCAGGATGTGGCTCACCTTGGCCGCAGTGACCTCTATGTCGTCGTCTGCCTTCACAAGAACGGTGTGTGACGCTCCCATGCCTTTGGCGAAGTCTACTCGGCTCTGAACAAGGTCTGGGAAAGAAAGCACAATATGTCGTCAAAACAATAACGAACGCAAAGAAAAGCATTTAAACTCCCGTGATTACGAGAATAACTCCGGGATACAAACTCTCAAAGATATAAAACTAGTATCAGAAGCCCCACATCTGTTGTACCATGTTCTGGGGTACAGGATGCACGTGCTCCAGGCTGGCGAGGAGTTGAACTAATACTTTTGTATCACCATACAGTTATCTTTGGAGTCTACACTGAACTATCAGTTGCGACTAGAATCTACTGTACATGTGTGTAACAATATGTATGTGTGCGTTTACAATTAAATGTGTGTGCGTTTGTGCGTGCATGTGTGTGTGCGTGTGTGCGTTATAAGAGCTGTCTAATTACCTGTGACGCAGATATTTGACGCCCCCATTGCCTTTGCCGCTATGAGAACCATAATTCCAATGGGACCTGTAACACATTTAACAAAAAATCATTCAAATATATAATCTTTAACGAGAAGGAAGTTGAGATGTGGGGACTAAATGATTTGTTCTGATAAAAATATCTACAAGTTTTCACTGTGGGAGTGCTTTATTTCACAAATGCCTACCAGCCCCGGTGATAAGCAAGCTTGAGCCAGGTTTAATCTCTGCCCGTGCGCATGCGTGGACAGCTACAGCGAGGGGCTCCATCAACATTCCCTCCTCAAAGGTCACGTGGTCCGGTAACCTGGTGTATGAAAAGATACAAGTAACAGGAAAAATAAATTTGATGTGAGTCACACTGATAGTAAATGTAAGATACACGTGCTTCCTTTTCTATGACTTACACTACACATGTACCGGTATATTTATATTTTGGTATTGCAAACTAGAGGTCCACAAACCCCCACCTTCACGCAACAATATAGCGGATACAGGCTTCTTCTAAGACCCAACGGACAAATGACACGTATTGAGTCTCAGAGTCAAATATTTCCTGTATTTTATACTGCACATAGACCTAATACATGTAGTTGCGTTAGGTTTTAAACAAGTTGAAGTAATAAGCAATGAAATGATTTTCGTTATGCTTGACACGAATTGTGGAGGATTGCACCTGGCCTGGACAAAAACCCGGTTAGCAACTTTGTACATATACTACTTACTTGTAACAAAACTCAGCCGGGTGACATATCACAGGTCTCATTGCCCCGCCGACAGGGGGTGCTCCGCAGAAATGCCTGTTTGGACAAAGGTTGTATTTCCCTTCCATGCAGAACTCACACCTCCTACACGGCACCCCAGGTTCCACGGCCACCCGGTCACCTGGAAGATCATCAACACATACATACATACATACATACCCCGGGTTCCACGGCCACACGGTCACCTGGAAGATCACACACGTGAATACATACATACATACATACATACATACATACATACATGTACATACATACACTGTGTGCCAGGTTTACACTAGTTAAGACCATCTGACCCGAGTCTGCTTTATATAAAGTACACGTATAACCAATGAGTTCGCTACATGTATAACAGGTCTGTAATGTTCTTACATGGTACATTGTGCATATGCTGTTGAATGGCAACTCCTACTTTGTACTATAGTATTAAGGAAATATACACTTTGAAGATGTGCAAAAACAGAACTATTAGCTTGGTTACTGCTCAACACTACAAATAAGCAATTCCAGTCATTGTTAACTGCACAAATGAACCCTTACCAACTATGAGATTGGTGACACCCTCTCCGACAGCCTTCACTGTTCCGCTAACCTCGTGCCCTAGGATTAACGGTTCCTTCACGACAAACTTGTTAAGTCGGCCTTCCTCAAAATAATGGAGATCAGAGCCACAGATACCGACACACTTGACGGCCAGCTGCACCTCTTGGAAGAAATTAAACACACATTTACATAGACGATATATGTTTTATCATCTGTGAAATGATTAACAATCTGATGATCGAGGTTTTGGATGATATACAGGCAAACTATACATGTGGCCGTACCTGTGAGCTAAGAGAGATTTAGAAAACTTGCTTCGGTACGGATACAGTAGCTTACCCGTACCCGTTGGAGATATTAAGCACAAGCTTTAAAAACTTAACATTGTAAGTAAGAACATGAAAACCTGCAATCAACCCTGTCTACACAGTAGTCCATAAAACACACACCATTTTAGGCAATTGAGATAAATTCTTTTCTTCGAACATTTTGGTCAGAAATTCACCTTAAAACTGCCAAATATAATAGGATAAGATTTGATGATATGTTTAAGCCCCCTTTACACTGGACGGCGTCCTTTCTGCGTCCAGCAGTTCGGCCCCATTTGAGAGTTAAAAAATTATAATACTTTACGGCCGACAACTGGCCGATCATTGAGCATTCATTCTGATACAAAATCGATGCTTGTGCCTCCTTATTAAGACCACAGCGATGCCAAATTTCATGGTCGCAGAAAGGACGCAGAAAGGACGCCGTCCAGTGTAAAGGGGGTATTAAATAATCTTTATAACAAAATTAAAAGAAAATAAACCATTATTGCACACTGAAATCTACGAGTTGATAATACCATGAATGTTTTGGTCAGCGAATGCATCAGTAAATGGGTAAATTTACACAGAGCGCCGACACACATGCACACCGACACATACAGACACACGCATGTGCGCGCGCGCACACACACACACACACACATTTAGGTTCTTGTCTTGTCATACATCCAGTGCAAGTTCTACAAACTTACCACCCTTTTGGGGCAAAGGTACAGGGGTCTTCTCCTGAAAGAAGGAGTGGCTTGATTCACCAATTGATTACGGTATAAAAGTGACATACAAAACATGGAGATTTACTACTGCTGTGTAATTGACTGGAATTAGACCACAGAAAAATAAACAAGAAGAAAATATCCCTAGATAAATAATGTAAGCTGTTGTAATTATGGACCCCGCTCTCCTCCTAACCCGGCGATATAAAAGTGGGTTTTATATTTTATCGCGAGACTTTGGGTTAATTAAGAATACCGTCAGTCTGATAACTGATAACTTGCCAATCACAAGATTTGGGTGAGATTATTTTAAGGACATGAACCAAAGCATCAACAAACACTTTAACTTAGGATGATATTCGAGCGTTCTCGAGATTTCAGAGAGTGAATATAGATATACTAGGCATTGCAAATTAAATATTTCCTCTGCTTCTATGTTAATATTACATTTTACATTGCACAAACAGAATTAAAGTTCATATCAAGAGAAAATATTCGACAGCGCACTAAACACGGAACGTTATTAAAATGTTGCCATAGCGTTGATAAAACTAAAAAACGTCATGCTAATGTAAAGTTGACGTTATAAAACGTTGTATTGTTGGGAGGCGTCTTACCAAACGGAGATCTTCTTGTCCATAGAGCACCGCAGATAATTGGAGTTTGGTGGACATCATCGCCACAGGTTTTTAGTATCGGCGATGTCTCTTGGATCAATTAATGATGGACAGGCGGCGCCACTGTGCTACTTGTCTGGAAATATCAAAATAAGAATTCTGCAGTATTCATTATAGCTGCCCCCAACGAACTACTTCGTAATATTAAAAAGTGAAAATTTTAACTTAATACCCCAAGCGTTCCCTTTTAATGTAAAATGTCTCGTGCCAGCAACTGACTGATCATTGTGCATGCATTCTGCAACCAAAGCAATGCTTGTTCCTCTTTTCTACCACCACAGCGTTGCCAGTTTCATGGTCGGACAAAGGACGCTGTTCAGTGTAAAGGGGGGTTAAGGAAGAAGACCTATCACAAGGGTTGCACAAAGGTTCATCAGAACTGAGGTGCGGCTGGGGGCTGGTTTGATCCAGGGGTGGATTATTTTATATTTCTATATTGTAATTCCCACTATCTCCTCCTAGACCATGAGAGAAATTGGAGGGACACGTACAACCTTCATCATGGCTCTGCATTGGCACTTCTGAATTCATGACAGTGTGGGACTGGGCTGCATCAAACACTTTTCATCTTTTTTTTTTGCTTTTATACTTCAATGTGTTTTTTACTCAAAATAATTTAGTAACTGGAAAAGCACTCAGAGCATGCAGACCTCCAAGGCAAATTATTAAGAAAATTAAATAAATTAATAAAGCGCCGCCAAGAACTAAACACTTTTCAGTTTACATGAAGACTGAATCAAAATCCATCTATAACTACCGTGTATTTGAGTAAGGCTGGTTCTACGAACAGACAAACGTCACTGATAACATGACCTCCTTGGTGGAGGAAATAAATGCATTCTCTCTTCTCAGCACTTCTCCAAATATATTATTATTATTATTATTATTATTATTATTATTATTATTATTAAATTTGCAACCCGAGGGTTGGATAAATACATTCTTTGCATCATAGTTGAATAAGAATAGAGGAATATTAAAAGGCGTGTGAACAAATTTTAAACAAAATAACTAAAATGCAAGGTTAGAAATGAAATAAAAGTCTCTCGGTCAGGAAGAAGCCTTAAGGAAGACTGACCAAACGCCATCTGAGGAAATTCAAGCGGGTGAGGATTTTAAATGAATTTATTTCAGCTGAGTTGTAGCATGAATGCACTGTATACATTTTTGTTGTAGAAAGCATTACGTTACCAGGTTTCAATGTACCAGATCTATTAAATCCGCACTTCTTTAGTATACTTCTATATCGTGAAGCTCTTGCTATATTTACCACTTAGTTATTGGGTCAAGGTGCAGGCCCGTAGCCAGCAATTTCAAAAGGGGGGTTCTTTTTCGGAAAAAGTGGACCTTTTCCCATAAAAACTTCATGTATCTAGATCAAATTTTACCCAGAGTGGACCTTTTCCCAGCAAAAGGGGTGTTTTTTTTTAACCCCCCGAACCCCCCTGGCTACGGGCCTGAGGTGAGTATTCTTTTGTTATAATTGTGGATTATTTCCTCTTCTGTAACTAGAACTGACTAGATGCACACCTTATTATGGTTACAATACTTGCTGTTGTCTAAAACTCTCTACGTGTGATTTAATTGTCTGACTGGCGTTATACCTGTAAAATTTACCTGGTCATGTAAAATGGCATGTCCAGATAGGGGAAGTTTATGAGCTATCTGAAGCATAGACTATGATACTTGTAGAAAATTATCTTGGGAAATCTTCAGATGATCACACAATGGTAATATTTTTACCCTTTCGAGGTCTGTTGTGGCCAAACGGCATGGGGGGGGGGGGGGGGGGGGAGAAAAGCCTCGAGGAAGACTGTTTAAGTACAGTACCATTGTAGGAAATCTAAGAAGGTGAGGTTTTAATAATGTTATTTCAACTGAGTTGTAGCATGAAAGGCACTTATACTTCCTAGATGAAGACAGATTGACATTACAATTACCATGTATGTACCAGATCTATTAAATTAATTTTCATTTTATTTTACTCTTTTTCTTTCAGGTGCGCGAAATGCCAGTAAATGGCCTACTTTCCGATGTGACTGTTTATGGAGAGATAGAAGAATGTGAACATAATGATCACCAGTGAACCTGCTTCTGTCACATCTACATGTAAACACTGGTTGCCATCTTCTGCTGGTACATGTACCCCAAACAGATGAAGGTTGCTGCTGTCACAGAGAGATACGGGCTTGATTTTTAAATTGAAATATACTCATTAAATTCATCCATTACAACTTAGACCGCTGTCTGATATTTAAGCCTCACTTGTATTATACAGTTAAAATCTCCATCAAAATCCTACAATACTGCCCCATGTACTAGCAAATGAATGAGGCACAGGATTCAAATAATATCCATAATGCACCGACAATTTACGTACATATGATATTCTGATAAAAAATGGTACTATAGATGATATACCTCCAACAAAATATAAACACACTCCTGACCACAGAGAAAAGCACTATTCATGATATTAAATACAATCCCGTGGGATGGTCTGTTAAATATGATGATATGTAAAGAAGTCAATTAACATACCCATCTACATCATGCAGGAGACAAAGAGAACAGCCTTACTAACACATGTACTTGCCCAATTTACTCTCCACTGACATTATGATAATAGCACCTAACACTAGTGCTCCTGACTTGGTCTTAAAGTGCAGTTTCAGATCAAAAACAATCTTACATGGTCTTAAACCATAAGTTAGACCATTACTGGACTGACTTGTCTCCCCTCACCCTCCATTGTAAGGGGAAGCATCCCCTTATTGTGAGGGGAGGAAATTGCTTGACCACTTGAATAAATGTTCGATCATTTTTTTATCTTAAAAGCATGCAGATTCAGTCCATTTTAGACCTCTGCTGATCTGGTATTGCACTTTTTAGACCAAATCAAGCGCACTAGTGTAATGAATTGCAATTAAGCCCATAGTACTTGGCGAGAGTTCCAACAGAGTTGGACCTACCTAATTTAGACCTACCTAATTTAGACCTACCTAACTGCTGGTAGTCCGATGGGAATCCACTGTCAAGTAAGCAAGCTGTATTTTTGTCACCAAGATCGGACATAAAATGAACGAAAATCGACTAATCTTTTTCGTTGCAACGCCCCCTTGATAAAATGCTTCCCCGTTGATAAAAGAGAAATACCTTGTAAGATGACCAGCGGCGACCTGTTGCCACTCTGAAGGGAGTAACTGCGTCTGTGCAGTGAAGCGTCCACTCTGTAAATATAACAGGACCATATAAAGCATGGTGTCCCATTGTGTTCACGTGTCAGCGCCTTGTAATTGATCGTTTTCACTTCAGAGTTTGCGTGTAGATCAATATGCCACGTACATGTAATAGTGTCTGTGAGAAAAATAGCGGGTCTGTCAACTTCATGCATGCAGTAGACAGGTTAATATGGATATTGTTTTCATGAATTATTAACAGTGCATCCATGAAAATAGCGGACAAATAGCCCAGAGAGTGGTGTGGGTCAAGATTTTAATCTCTTTTGAATAATATCATTATGTATCAACATGAAAGATGTCAGCAGCTTTAATATACAGGTGTTCATGTAACAGTGCGTGGGCTTTCTCATACGGGGTGCCTAGTATTAGAGATACATGTATAGGGCATATACTTCTCGAGTAAAATGTGACATTTTCATCTACTACATGAAGTACTTAAAGGCCACATACAAGATAAAGCTACATTTAAAATGTTTAACCCTCTAAGAATAAAGTTTATTATTGTTGTTTTTGTTATCATCATGTTCATTATATATACTTCCATGTTATTATTGAGATGTTATAGAGTTAAAAGTTTTAAAGTTTTGTACTGTTACATCATAAGACTCCTTTTGGGATGCGACATGTGACATGTTAAAAAACGACTTTCATATCCAGGGCTTAATAAAATTGCACAGTCAAGATAAAAAAATGTCACTTCCCTGAAGGCCTGTCACTGAATGCCTGGATCTTTTGTCCTTCTTTACACCACCATATCGCAATCTTTGAAGGTTACATCAACGTTGATTTTGGTATGTTTTTATTAGACATGGATTGGATAATATATACCGTAGAAACTGTTAACACCTCTCTATGTATTAATATGATCACTAGTAACAACTAAAACACACGAAACCATAAACATGTTCAAATTAAATTAATTCAATTTTTGTAAAATGTCTTTATATTTTGATGTGAATGTGTGTAGATGATCAGCCCAGCTGCCGCATGAAGCACTGAAAACTAGCATATACAAACATATAACATTCTTTCACTTCCAGACAGGTGTTCAACCCTGCTTCAACCTCTAAGTGTTAAGGAAGTGCAAAGCGGGAAAACAGCAGGTACCTTATTTTGGAAGGGTCACTGGTTCCGCAAGGTGCGGCACCTGGTGTGCGTGCGCATCTCAGCGCTGGAGAACATAAACTGCTAACAGTGGCGGTGGCGACCTCTCTCTATATATACTGTAGATACATCTATGTTGCTGTTAATATGTTTTCATCTAATTGACACATTTAATATTAATCACAAAGGTAGATAAACATTGTGTTGATGGCTTGTGTTTATGACTCGATGTACCATTCTCACCAGGGCTCCGTTACTCGAAAGCATCGCGAATTGCGACCAAGCGCAAGCGTCTCTATTCCATAAATCGGGATTTACTCGCCCCATAGAATAGCCTCGAAATAAAAGGTGATATCGCTATTCGCAATTCGCGATGCTTTCCAGTTACGGAGCCCAGGTCACTGGACAGCCGCTTGTTATATATTACAGTGAGGGGTTACAATTAGGGACTCCTTTCATCTTCAGATGACAAAACTGAAAACTCTCTCTCATTTTGGAAACCATAAATGCTGGAGACCTCTTATTTTGCATTTTGTAGAACTTGTCAAGAGCAACACTGGTGGTGGAGTCCGTTTTTATGTTTTCGATACGGTTTAGGAGTTGTGCTAAATCAAAAAGTACAATGTCGCAATATTCAGTGGTGAAAATAAAATGTGAAATACTCCAAAATTAGAAGAGATACGCACATAGTTACTATTGAACTTGAATAGGAAGTCATTTACTAGCAATCAAACTGTGACCTTGAAATTGGACTTTGGCCTACTTTTCACCATGAACTGAATCTTGGACATAAAACATGACTGAACTTTGCAAGTTTTCCGGCCCTAATATCTCCAAACCTTTCAGAGATACTCCCAGTTTTTATTAAACTTTAATAGAAAGTCATGCACATGTAGCAAGGTGTCTAAACCTGTCTGCCATGTACGGTACAGGTACGGGGAGGGTGCACGCACATGTAGTGGCAAACACGTACCGTGGTATGCGTGAATTCTGAGTTATGAGTTCTGAGTTTCTTATCCCCAGCATGTCATTTGAAAGCAACGTTTATTATTTGAAAGTCAAATGTTTGAAAAGATCATAGGTTAAACTACGTCACCAAACATCTATTTCAACGGTCAAATTAAATGCAAATTAAGTTGAACAGACACACGTTTTATTACATGCACTAGCTGTGGTAACCACAAGGAGTAGGATATTCTATATCTCTGCATTCACCATGTTAACTATCATTCATCTAAGTCATATAATAAAGATGAGCATCCAACCAAGTCGGGGATTGACAAGAATTGTTCAACCTTTCCAGAGACTAGGAAATAACTTCAAACCCAGCTTTGTTCCAGACTCCTTGCCATGTCTCCGACCTGTTCAGAGATTGACGAACAAAACACTGCACCTTAAAAAAGTAAGTAAACTTTTGATATGATCACAATACTTAGTTAATCACAAACTGCACGTGTGGGCGAAAACACCTGATGTTCTGAAATCAGATTAACAGTTTCTAAAATTAATTAATTGGCTTAGGGCTTACGTAAGATCAAAATGCAACGAACATGTACATATAAATCTGTCTATTTTAGTCTAGAATATATACTTCTAAACCAAAACGTAAATACTCCATGACCTGAAATGGGCTTGGTAAAACTTGTGTCATGTAACAAATGGTGTTTCAGATGCCAGAAGACTACCCGTTGGTGACCGGAGCAAACCATTGGAGAAGAAAAGTTAAAACTGTATTCCAACGGCTAGATTCCAATGCTGATGGGTACATTACTAAGGAAGACCTTGTGATATCTGCCAAACGACACATAGAATATTTGAAGCTCCAAGGTAACTTCACTATGCTGGTACTCTATAGTATGTTGAAGTGTTCTATGTGTATTAAATCGCCGTTATGTAAATGGGGTAACTCGGCCTATCCGAAGAGCACACGTGTAAACTCGTTTATTCACTTTCTAATATGTTGCACACATTGAAAAATTAAGAAAATTACATATAATATATTATAAAGTCTTTATAACCATGTACTTTCAGTTATTGAATTCCACAATGTTAGGACAAAAGTTATTGTTAAAGTTTTTCATTTCTTAGATGAACCAGCTGAACACATTCTAAACCTACGTCTTCACATGTGGTCGGCCCTTGCTGGAGATAAACCCAGTCTTTCCCAGGAGGAACACTGGAAGAACAACTTCTCCATCGTGAACCAAAGCCACTTTCGACGTGAATTATACTACATTATTGTCTCCACAGAGTTTAATGTCATGGATACTGATGGCGATGGTCTTATATCCAAGGAGGAACATGCTGCCTTTTTCTACAGCCATTACATTCCAACTAAATATTCGAAGTCCGTCTTTGATGTGATGGACTCCAACGCAGATGGTATCATCTCATTTCAAGAGTTCACACAGGCGTATGTAGAGTTTTGGTTGACCGAAGAACCAAACAACATTTACAATGAATTCTATGGACCACTAGTTTATTAACTAATGAAACGGACAACGTACATTTCAAATGTCAGTTAATTTCATGTGTATCCTGAGTGCATACATTGCAGCCGTTTTGAGTTTAAGTTAAAGAGAGAAGATAACATAGATCACGTAGGTATTTAAGCGCCCAATACATGCATGTTTGAATTATGATTATATAACATAATAAAGTACATAATAAACTACAGTATTGATTTACCGTAGAGAACGAGCATTGTTCACGTTTATAACCCTACATTTCATACATGTATGTGTTCATTCCACATGCGGAAGGTGTTCTCGTATAGATACATGTTATCGTGCCGAACTCACAGCAGAAGCAAGAATATTGGCGGTTAACAGAGGTATAGAACCACTGGCTACTGGTGTGTCATGACTACCCACACACCGTTAATTGAAGTATAAAATTAATAAGTAATAGAGGGGCGCGTTTGAAAACCTCATAATTACTATGTGCACATATATGTAACCGGTAAAGGTACAGGTCATAAAAGGGCCTGACGTCCATTGCTCCATCTGCCATGTTCAGGATGCCATGGCATTCTAAAGTTCTAGCCTGTCATTCAGAATTAAATCAATCAATTGAATAAAACAACGACATCAAATGCAGGGACGGGTCGAACTATGATACATCAGTTGAAGAGAAAATGTTTTTCAGCGGAAAAATCATATTTGCTGGCACAGAACACCTTTTACTGTCAACTGAAAATCGATGAAAATATTGATATTCATGATATGTGTCCTTCTGATAATTAATAATATTATGTCACTGAATTGAATCTAGTTTAATGTAGGTTAACATTGTTTTTGCTTTATTTCTTGCCGTTTCCATTGCCAAGGAAAGTATTAACAAAGTTCTGAAACTGGAACGCTGGCCCCTCTCCAGGTACTACAGGGTGGCTGTCAGAGGGGACCGGATACCAGGGGTCGGGACAGCTCCATGACTGTGTGTTCAAACTACAGCAGCAACCCACAGGAAACCGGATCCACTTCCAAACGAGAGTATAGGTGGCGGCAGAGTTACCTTGGATGACCAAGATAGGCCTGTATCCCCACTCGGCGGCGCAAAATGAACAGATCCCGGCTTGGTGGCGGCAGTATTGTTCGAAAGGGCTGAAAATCAATACATGTGAACTTGAATCAATAACAACTTGCAATATTAGCTCAATATGGAATCAACAGGTCTGATGGGAGCCCTATTTTAAACACTTGGCGTAGATTTAGTACATTGATTGAGGTAGCGACTGCACGCCAAAATTAGTAGCAGTACGTGTTAGATGTATATGACATAATCGCATACCCTTTATATACCCTTTATCGCATAAGTAAGACCAAAAAAAAACTTATTTAACATTACATAATTAAAGTCGGATTTCGTGTGTTCATTAGAATGTCAATAATAACTGTATACAGACAAATCTTCAGTGCGTTATTGGGCTGAAGTAGCGGCATGAGGTAGGATCGAGAGTGTAAATTTCTATGGTAATTGGCGGTCATTTTGGATTTTTATGTTTCCCATGCGGGATTTTTGTCGTACTTTTAGTATTATTTTTGGGGGATCAAAATGAAATGAATGTTGAAAATCATCTGTTGCAATGATGTCCAGGATAAACCCTCTACGTGTGGACTATGTGTTGTTGTATACAAACCCTAGCAGTGGAAACCTTTAATTAAAAAATAGAAATCACACACTGTAGTAATACTAAACTGATAAATGCTTTGAATAATGTTGAGGTGTATCTGAAAAAATATCTTAAGCTTAAATTAGCTCCTTCAGTATTATTAACTATTTATTGAATAGATAAAGAGCCAAGTTATTTGACTGATGCATCAGAGGCAAATCGATTACAACAGCAAAGGTCAATCAGGGTGAAATCAACTGTGCTAGTTGTGCTGCCACTGATTGTGCTAGTTGTGCTGTTACTTGCTAGTAGTTTTTCCCATGCAAACGATAAATTTGTTTTGAATATGCATGAGAAGCAAGAAAAGCAGAGCTAATGGCGCATGTGTGACAGGATGGATAGAGAAGATATACGCAAACAAATTATTGCAATGTCGCGTTAAACCACGATAAATAGGGTGGATGTGATCCAGACCACCACCAAAATGTTATCTTTTTTACGTGAATCCCGTTTTGATGCATCCTAAAAATGTCATCAAAATACACAAAATACACAAAATACACTCTGCACACCCTAGATGGATAACCACCTTGACGGAAGTAAGGGTGGAAAGAAAGAATGGCGAGAAAGCTGCATGTGCTGGGGTGAAACTGAATGTAAATGATGAAATAAAATGAAAAATGAATGTTATGAAAACTACCTGAAATAAAATATGGTATACGTTTTATTAAAAATCACTTTAAAAAATCAATGAGAAGAAGCTAAACAAAGCTAATGATAAGAAAAGACTGATTATAATCAAACCCAAATCCTGATGAACGTACTAGCATATAGCAAACTTGACCCATTGTTCCCTGTCGTTAGCGGTGTCCTGGTACACGGGCAGCCAGTCGCCTTGCTTTGTGGACGGATCTTCATAGTAGACCCAGTATGGCTGCATCCAATACTCCCACTCTTCACACTCTGTTTGCCTGCGGACCACAGCAAAGAGATCATTAATAAACTTCGGTTTGATGAGCGCATGCAGGGTTTTCTCAGAAAAACTCGTAAGGCCGACACGCATAACTTGCGTTTCTGTGCCTTATCTCGGAACATTATCATGTTTTCTCAGATCATATGAATTACATAATGAACAATATTATTCTGCGGTGTGAGACAACTGTTCAAATAAAATCTCCTTGCGACCACTTGTTAAACTCGTCAGATGGGGACACTTTGCTTACCCAACGCCATACTGAAATGGCAGCGGGGCGGCGGCACCTATGGAACGTTTCTTCCTTCTTCCCGCCGTCTGTCTGGGGAGTACTGGGCTCTGGTCGCCCCTGGGAGGACCGCTCAATTTTGGAGCACCACTTTCAGATAGGCCCGCTGCTCGAATTCTGCCCTGTTGTCTGAAATGTGTGGGAAGTAGATAACAAAGATTAAATGGCTTGCACATGGGAAGTTTTATAAGGCTACCAGGGATGCCATTTTACCTGGATATTTTTAAAAAGACAAACTCACAAAGAATATTTTTTACAGATTTAAAATTGTGATTATTTACTGTGTTGTTTAGAGTTGAACGCTCACATTGCTAAGAAAGGTGGAGCGTTTTAAAAATATTATTAAAATAATTTATCAGGCCTCAAACATGTTGAATTTGTCTTATTTGCTTAGAAGTGCCATCTGTAGGGTTTATGTGATTGAACTAAGAATGACGTTACTAGGGAGTGTGGGTATATTTTCATCACAGACTCTCCGTCTACAGCGTTGATAGCCACTTTTGATCTAAAAGGCTATCACATCTCCAATTCCATGTGTTTTTGTCTACAAATAACCACATCGCAGCTGTTTACCCTTTTGAATAGTGCTTTTATTCCAGATATCATATCTGAATTGATTTCGGTACACACCTTTCTATATAATGTAAAACATGCTGTAGTGAACAATATAAGACGCGTCAAAATAATATATATTTCTTAATGCTGCCGTTTTTCCCAGTAGATTCCACATTCCCTGTCTCAAGACACTGCGTTAGCGTGCACTGCAGATACACCTGCAGGCAGGCAGACAGATACATCACAAGATCAAGTGAACTCCTTCCCTCATCATTCTCAATTCCCGCAATTCCATATACGTTGCCACACAAGTTATGTATCACCAAAATTGTTAATTGCTTAAACAGAGACAACTAATTACTTTAAATTGGACTCTTGGTTGGACTATCGATTCCTTGTATAACATTGAACTGATATTTTCTCTACGTCGACCAAGACAATGTACCCCCTTAAATCTAATGTTCACACTTACTGTGGATGTAACGTTCCCGTAGGCGAGTATACGGCGTTAGAACAAACCCCTGTCCTTCCGTCACTGATACCCCGGCCTTTCTTCACGTGTAGCAGCTGGCAGTCCAAGTTCACTTCATTTATGGATAACTTCCGTCCTTCTGTGCTCCCAAACACGGAGATGAGAAGAAATGAGTAGAGCTGGAATGAAATTTAAATCTGAAATACTCCAGAATGGACATCTCTTTTTAACTGTTCCATGCAATTAACGGTGTTTTCATCTCAATTAATTGTCTGTAGTTTCAGGTACAATGCCGTCACTTCTTACCTGTGATATGATATTTAAGCAGCAAATTTAATTGTAAATCAGTTAATGAATTGGGGAACTAAAGTACAGGTCAGTCTAATCTCTGTCTGAAATAGCCCTAAAATACTTTGGACTTCAGTGCTTTTAGTTTGATAGGCAGCGCATATAGCAAATTGGCCTCAAATAAAAATATCTAACCCTAACCCTATTTTTTCAATGGAAGTGTGTGTTTGTAAGGAGAATTCTGATGATATATTCTACGGGTTTAAAGGGTCATTCGGCTCTATCCAGGTCCTGAATTTAAGTCCGCTTCATTGTCATCCAGTGGGCAGGTGTACCGTTAACCGTAATTATATTCATGGCCATAGCGCTAAAACACAGTCATGCTTTGGCGCGTTTCTATTGATAAAAGGAAATATTGCCATTCTGTTGACAATGCAGGTGTCTCTTTTCTTACAAAATCGGAAATTCAAAAGTTAAATGTGAGAATTTTGCAAATTGAGGAAATGATGAATGCTATTTAACAGGGTGTTAAGCTACTAAATAATTTGTTTTGAAAGACGATCGCCATTTGCAAATTCCATATTTTTCTATTTAGGAACAAACATGGCAATTATTGGCCTTATACATTGTACAATCCCTCACGCCATAAATTATTCCTATAAACCCTATATTTCTTCTCTCCGTTCCAAAGAATGCATTTAAACACAAACTACATCTTCACATGCTGAAGAAAGTAAAAAAACTACCCACTTGAAGTGACATAAAAGTTCGTCTTCTTCACAAAAAAAAAAAAAAAAAAAAAAAAAAAAAAAAAAAAAAAAAAAAAAAAAAAAAAAAAAAAAAAAAAAAAAAAAAAAAAAAAAAA